CGTTGTCATGTTGGAAGACCCAGCCACGACCTATCTTCAATGCTCTGACTGAGGGAAGGAGGTTGTTGCTCAAAATCTCACAATAAATGGCCTCATTCATCCTCTCCTTAATACAGTGCAGTCGTCCTGTCCCCTTCGCAGAAAAGCACCCCCAAAGCATGATGTTACCACCACCATGCTTCACAGTAGGGATGGTGTTCTTGGGATGCAACTCATCCTTCTTTTTCCTCCAAACACGACAAGTGAAGTTTAGACCAAAAAGTTCTACTTTGGTCTCATCTGACCACATGACTTTCTCCCATGCCTCCTCTGGATCATCCAGATGGTCATTGGCAAACTTCAGATGGGCCTGGACATGTGATGACTTGAGCAGGGGAACCTTCCGTGCAATGCATGATTTGAAACCATGACAGCGTAGTGTTCTACCGACAGTGACCTTTGAAACTGTGGTCACAGCTCTCTTCATGTCATTGACCAGCTCCTCCCTTGTAGTTCTGGGCTGATTCCTCACCTTTCTCATCATCAGTGATACCCCACGAGGTGAGATCTTGCATGGAGCCCCAGTCCGAGGGAGACTGACAGTCGTCTTTAGCCTCTTCCATTTTCTAACAATTGCTCCAAAACAGTTGATCTATTTTCACCAAGCTGCTTGGCAATTGCCCCGTAGCCCTTTCCAGCCTTGTGGAGGTCCACAATTTTGTCTCTGGTATCTTTTGACAGCTCTTTGGTCTTGCCCATGGTAGTAGTTGGCGTCTGACTGACTGTGGAGTGGACAGGTGTCTTTAAAGAGCTCAGACAGGTGCTACTAAGTTAAATTAATGAGTGGAGTAGAAGTGTACTTTTTAAAGGCACAGTAACATGTCTCTGAGAGCCAGAATTCTTGCTGTTTCTTAGGTGTTCAAATACTTATGTTCAGCAGTGTAAGACAAATAAATTCTTTAAAAATCATACAATGTGATGTCTCGTATTTTTTTTTTTTAAATTCTGTCTCTCAGAGTGGGAATGCACCTACAATGTGAATTTCAGACCCCTCCATGATTTCTAAGTGGGAGAACTTGCAAAATCGCAGGGTGTTCAAATACTTCTGTTCCTCACTGTATATGTTTTTGTGTGCATTTATTATAAATTTGCATATTGATTTATATTAGTAATTTTTTGCATATGTTGATGTAATTTATTTTATTATAAATCACCATTGTCACTTTAAAAATTAATATTAATTTTAAGCTTTTGGGTTCTTATGGTATTAGCGCTGCATCATTTTTGTTGTAAAAAAAAAAAAAAAGAACAAGCCACTTACAGATAGAGAGCTTTCGGTCCAAGAATTGATGCTACAAAAGCTGACACAACACCAGACCCACAGCCAATTTCAAGGCAGAGCTCAACCCTGTAAAAGACCAACACAAAGTGAATATGGTTATGAACAGGCTCAGAATGGCAGGCACGGTTCCATGAGCTGCTTAGCAAATTACCTAGCTGTGAGCTCATCAACTTCTTCTTCCAAGGCATCAATAAATAGAAATGTGTCTTCTGCTGGTTCATAGACTTCAGAAAATTCTCCTTGGCCAACATGTGAATATACAGGGGTAGGGTGCATAGCTTTACTGGAAAATAATTTCAAAAGAAAAATAAATCTGCACTACAAAAGACCCATAATAATCTATTAAAAATGGTTGTAAAGGAGAACATTAAAAAAACAAAAAAAAAAAAACCCACAACAAGAGACATGTCTATACTTACCTGCTCTGTGCAATAGAATTGCACAAAGTGGCCCCAATCCTTCTCTTCTCGGGTCCCCTGCCCCATTGCAAGCAGCTTGCTATGGAGGCACCAGAGCAGGCTCAATCTGTCTGTCCATTCAGACCTGCTCCTGGCTCCTCCTCTTTTGCTGGTGCCCCCAATAGGAAACGGATTCCCATGAGGGCACTCGTGCGGACTTGCTCCCGAGTCCCACTGCTGTGTCCAATGACACAGACAGTAGGACTCGACCCTGCCCTTCACCACTGGAGTTGATTGAGAGGAGCAGGAGCCAATGGCTCCCGTTGCTATCGATCTGCCCAGTGAGGAGGGACAAAGCCAGGAGAGCTGCAGCTTCAATGCACCGCGCTGGATTGTGATGGGGCTCAGGTACATATAAGGGAGATGAGAGGGCATCGTGATGGATAAGGTTTTTTTACCTTAATGCATTAAGGTAGAAAACCTTGAAGCTTTAGAACCACTCGAAGTTGAAAAGTTGCACAAGTTGAAAGAAGACACAAGTCCATCTACTTCAACCAATAGAATTTTGATCAAACTTATTGCTGTTGGTCTATGTTAGAATGCAGTAAAAAACACAACAGGTACTTTTAATCTATGTGGACTCAATAAAATGATTAATTCTCTGTAACACAGTGCACCAAGAGGGCTGCTATGATTTGGAAAGATCTGGGGAACTCTTGGGCACACATGGTGTGCCATGAGAAATGATGCAAGGGTCCACAAAACATTGAACTGTGGCTTAAAGTAAAACTTAAACGTATAAACATTTTGAAAAATAAGGAAGGGTCATAACCTTTGTAAGCTTTTTTGTGCCACCTGAGCCCAATTGGGGAGATTGCTGTTCACTTCCTGTCCCATAACCAAAACAGGAAGTGAAAGGAAGTCCCACCAAAGTGAGGGAATAACCTGGCTGTCATCAGTACTAATGTCTTCATTGGAGGATTTCCCCTCTATTCCTGTTCTGATGACCTATAAGCACAGGGTCATTTTGCATGTGAAAGAATACCTGTAATATAAGACGTGATGTACAGAGGCAAGAAAAAGCATGTGAACTCCTTGGAATGAACTGCTTTTCTGCAGTAATTTGCCATAAAATGTGCTCTTATCCTAATCATCACAACAGACAAACATAATGTGCTTAAGTTGAAAACACACAAAACAATTCTAATTTCTCCTGTTCTTATTGAATATAACCATTAAACATTCACAGTGCTGGAGGACAAAAGTACATGAAACCTTGGAGTTAATAGCAGTCAAACCTCCTTTGGCAGCAATGACTTCAAGCAAAGCAGTTTCAGTAGCACTGGATCAGACCTGCACAATGTTCAAGAGGAATTTTTGACCATTCCTCCTTACATCTTTACAAAACTGCTTCAACTCAGAAACATTTGTAGTCTGGTGTAAATGACTTATTCCACCAAATCTCTATAGGGTTAAAGTGATAACAAAGGCTGTTTTTGTTTTTATATTAAACATGTCATACTTACCTGTTCTGTGCAGTGGTTTTTTGCAGTAGCCCTGATCCTCTTCTTTTAGAGTCCCCTGCTGGCACTCCTGGCCCCTGCCCCATGGCAAGCAGCTTGCTATTGAGGCACCTGAGCATGCTCAATCTGTCCATTCAGACCTGCTGTTGTCCACATCGCTAGATCGAGAAGAGGTCCAGGTAAGTATTAGGGGGGACTGATGCACACAGGTATTTTTTTTTTTTTTTTTACCTGCATGCATAAAATGCATAAAAGGTAAAGACCTTGAGCCTTTACAACCACTTGAGGTCTGGGCCCTGACGGGGCCATTCCAAATGGAATATTTGCTTTTTCTGAAGCCAGTCTGTGGTGGACTTACTTTGATGCTTAGGGTAACTGTCCTAATGCATCACCCATCTTCTGCTAAGCTTTAGCTGGCAGACAACCACCCTGACATTATCCTGCAGGATATTTTGGTAAACTTGGGAACTTATTATCCCCCTTGATGATAAGCAATTCAGGCTCCTAAGGCAGCAAAGCAAGCCCAAACCATCACCTTCCCTCCACCATTGGAATGATATTGGTAAGCTGTTCCCTTTCTGTGCCATATGAAGTGCGGATCATCCTGAACAATTCAACATTTGTTTCATCAGTCCACAAAATATTTTCCCAGTAGTGTTGTGGTTTGCCATGGTACTCTTTGGCAAACTTCAGACGTGCAGGAATGTTTTTTTTTTTTTTAGAACAGCGGTGTTCTGTTATGGACACCCAGCCTGTTCAAAGACATGTATGGTAGACTCATGAACGGGGATGTTTGCCAGTTCCAGTGATGTCTTCAAGCTATTACTTGTGGGTTCTTTACCTAATTGAGGATTCTGTGTTGTGCCTTGTGAGTCATCATGGCTGGGCACCCACTTCTTGGAAGAGTAGCTACAGTACTAAACGGTCTCCATTTAGAGGCAAGTTGTCTACTTGTCCACTAATGGATGCCTAAATACTTTGAGATTGCTTTGTATCCCTTTCCAGTCTTATACAGATCAGCTACTTCCAATCATACGTCTTCAGAGAGCTCCTTTTAGTGAGTTATGGTTCTCACCAGCTGATGCTTCTTATGACCAGCAGTCATGAATGATAAGCTCACCTTTAAAAAACAAAACAAGAACATTTTTTTTGCAGGTAAAAATGTGCATTTATTTATTTAAATATCTATCTATCTATCAGGAGTCTGTAAAGCACTACATCCATGATCAGCAGGTCATGGGAGCACTGTCAGGCTCCCGCAGACTGTCAGTTTAGTGGTCTGCATGTACCTTTTATGGGCAGGCAAGTACTGAATGGCAGGAACTAGAGTGATCACCAGCTCCCTCGTAGGTCATTGAAAGCTACAAGCCGTCAGCTGCAATGGTTGGCAATAGTTGTAGTACTCTCATTGTGAATGAATGACGCAGCCAGGTGGGCAGAGGGCCGCTGCACCCAAATTAAATTTACGTCCTTTTTTTCCCCCACAAATAGAGCTTTCTTTCGGTGGTATTTGATCGCCTCTGCGGGTTTTTTTTTGCGCTATAAACAAAAAAAAAAACCAAAATTTTTTAACTTTTTGCTATTAAACATGTCCAGCAAAATAATTTTAAAAACCTAATTTTGTCAGAAATTTAGGCCAAAATTTATTCTGCTACATGTATATGCTAAAAAAAAAAAAAAAATCCAATAGCGTGTACAAATGGTGGTATATATACTGGAATTTATTTTAATTTACTAGTAATGGCGGTGATCAGTGACTTATAGCGGGACTGCGGTGGGCATTTTGACACTGGGGGGGAACCGACTTGGTGTCCCTGACATCCCCAGTGACACCAATACAGTGATCAGTGCTAATAAAAAGTACTGACACTGTACTAATGGCACTGGGCAGGAAGGTATTAACATGTGCGGCAATCAAAGTGTTAACTGTGTGCTGTTTCACTGTATGTGTGCTTTACACTTTGTATGGCTCTGCTGTGTGCAGATGACAGGGGAGAGATGTGTTGTTTGTACACAGGTCTCTCCCTCGTCGCAGATACTGGGCCGGAACCCGGCGATAGTCTAGGCCATGAATGGCGGTGCGGGTACAGCACGCATGTGCCCCTACCCAAAGCTGCAAAATCATGTAGACATACGTGATTTTGCGCCCCCGTGCCACCCTGTAGCATTATATCTGCTGTATGGCGGCACGGAAGCGGTTAACGAGTGTGTTCAATAAAGACACAAGAAATTAGAATGGTTTGTGTGTTATCAACACAATGGGGGAGATTTACTAAATCTGGAGGACATAAAATCTGATGCAGCTCTGCAAAGAAACCAATCAGCTTCCAGATTTTATAGTCAAAACCTAATTGAACAAGCTAGAAGCTGATTGGTTACTATGCACAGCCACACCAGATTTTGTGTGCAGCAGTTTTAGTAAATCTCCCCTACTGTTTCTCTATTGTTGTGACTTATATGAGGATCAGATCACATTTTATGGCATAAAGCCAGTTAATTCCAATAGGTTCACATGCTTTTGCTTGCCACTGTACTTCCCTCTTTTGTGGCTCATTTGTTTATATTTGTTCCCTCTTATTGCTGCTCCCTGGCCCCCCACAAGTGCTCAGTTGGTAGCCCAACTCCATTTCCTTTACTGCAGTGTTTGCACACTTCAGTCAGTATGTAAACCAAAACCGAAAGCTCTGAGAGCTGATTGGATGGAAGAGACCCCCCCCCCTTCACACAGTTCACAGAAAGAGCTGAGGCTGTTAATCACAAGCTGCGTGTTGGAGGTCCCTCCCCTGCAACCTTTTAACCCTTTATGTCAGGAAACTTGTCAGAAGTGGTTCATGCTGATAGCAGAGGAACGAACCAGCAGATGAAAATGTCACTCGCCTGCTCGCATTGGCAAGTGGAAATATGATGGGGGCGAGTGTGTCCAGACTGCAGCAGGTGATATTGACAGCCGGGGATGATCGGTGAAGCGGTGGGGACAGCTACAAGCACTAATCTCCTTGTATGGGTTTCAATGAAGCAGCTGGAAGCCGTAGGAGGGAGAGGAGTGCTTGTAGCTGTCCCCACAGCTGCACCAATCATCCCCGACTGTCAACTGGACTTCTCTTTCTGGGACCCCCTCCTCCATGTCCAGCTCCTCCCCTGATCTCCCACACCAATAGGAGAGAGGCTCGATCTGCTCTGCCTCCCCCTGTGCCCGCCCACACTCCAGTCCGTGCAGCTTATCAGAAGAGGATGTGTAGGTGGGAAATTGTACAGAGCCGATAGCTGCATATGTGCAGCTCAGTACACATTCTCACACTGTGCCTGTGTGTCAGGGTGACTGAATTCCTGAACGTGTGGAAATTAAGTTGTCCCACATATCATGTGGAATCTCACAGGCAAAAACATTGGAGCTAAGGGTAAGTATTTTGGATTTTAAAGTGTTACTAAAGGCAATTTTTAGAAAAAGTAAAACAAACACGTTATACTCACCTGCTCTGTGCAGCGGTATAGCACAGAGTGGCCCCGATCCTCCTCCTCTCGAGTCCCCACCAGCAATTCTGGCTCCTCTTATTCTTTGTGTGCAAGTCATCTGCTATGGGGACAAACACTGCATGCTCGCTCCCAACCTGTATGTCTACGGAGATATGCTCCATAAACACGTGCAGCGGGACTTAGCGCACACACACACACGCACACACGCCAATGGCTCCTACTGCTGTTTGAATCCCTATGTAAAGAGGAAGCGATGGGAGAAGAGATGCAGCTGTACAGAGTGCTGATCTCTTCTCCCGTCTTCCTCTTCACACAGGAAAGGGGGAGCACAGGGAATTTAAAAAAGTTTTTTTACCTTAATGCATGCAATGCATTAAGGTAAAAAACATTTTTTAGGTTTAGTATCACTTTAAGCCAGCCATAGATGATTCGAACCTCGGGTGGTTCCTGCTGAACGGACCATGTATGGGTTGGCTGAATGTACCCAAGTCGATCGATCAACTTGGGTACAACCAGACTGCCAGATTTTACATGCGACCATTGCTAGCAGCTGTTCTAATGGCTAGCAATAATCACTGTATTCTCTCGACATGGACATCTTTCCCTGCCCTACGATGCTTAAGTGGACGGGATTCGCCATCAACACTATGTAGATGGGGGAATCGAGTGACTTTCTTTCCTGCAATCTGAAAACAGAAAACTTGTGTTCAGGAGAGGAAAGTTTTGGTCAAAAAAAAAAAAATGCTAAACTCTGCAAAACGTGTCTAAATGATAGCTGCGTTTACACCGCGTTCCAAAATTATTATGCAAATTCTATTTAAGTGTCACAAAGATGAAATATTTTGTTTTTCAGTGTAACTCATGGATGGCAGTGTGTGTCAGGGCTCTTTTGATCACTGAAACCAATCTTGGACACCTGTGATAATTAGATTGGCCGGTGAGCTCAATTTAAGGAAAAACTACTAAAGGAGGGTGTTCCACATTATTAAGCAGAGCGCCATTTTCAAGCAATATGGGGAAATAAAAGGATCTCTCTACTGCCGAAAAGAGTGAAATAGTTCAATGCCTTGGACGAGGTATGAAAACATTAGATATTTCACGAAAACTTAGGCGTGATCATCGCACTATTAAGAGGTTTGTGGCTGATTCAGAGCACAGACGGGTTGGTGCAGATAAAGAATTATGCTGACTGTTATTTACATCAATTATTTAGGTAAATGAGAAAAATATCATTTGCATAATAATTTGGAATACGGTGTAGTGTGAGAGTGTTTATTCATGTCAATTGATAATTACAAAATGAATAAAACGTCCAAGTGCTAAACACAGGACCAAGTTTTCATGCGTTTTTGCAGCATTTACCCCTGGCTCACATATCCGTGTTTTGCATGGGCACGAGAGCCCTTTCATTTGAATGGACTCCGGTGCCCCGCGACAAGTAGGGAAGAAATCCCTGTACTTCTGAAAATGTAGCCCACACAGGAACCTCGGTTCCCAATACGGTTGCGATTTCCAGTGTGGGCGGCGTGCCATTAGAATTAATGGCACCCACGGGTCCGCATTCCTCTGTGTGGGTGGTGAGGCTGCACGGATTTATGTTGGGATCCACAGCGGCACCACCTGCACAGATGTGAACCTAGCCTTAGTGTTTCTCTGCTGCCAGGAGAGCTAATCATCCAGGGGAGTTCATGTGTACATGGGGCCTTATTATTATACAGGATTTATATAGCGCCAACAGTTTGCTCAGCACTTTACAATATAATGGGAGACAATAAAGCAACAATACAAGAGGGATAGGAGGGCCTGATCCTTGGAGCTTACAATCTAGGAGATTCTTAGACACGACTGCCCATGCAAGATGCTGCTATTTACTGCGTTTTTGAAGCCACTAAACTCCTGTAGGAGACAAAAGCGTCAATAGAATAGGTGGTGCATGAAGCCTACAGAAGGCATGTCACCTCTTCACATAGTTGTAGAAAACACAACCCTGCCCTGGAATAGGAACTATCCTGGAGACATTTTACTACCGGGCTGACTAGAAATCAGAGGCAGAGTGCACAGGGAACATGAATCCTTGAGTCTGCAATGTGAAGCACTGGTCTCCTCCTCATGGTTAGTACCTCACAGGGCACACATATCACAGCCGCCCTCCTCTTATATCCCCCTCACACCACCACACACCTTCAGGCTGCCTCGGTCCCAGCCGTCCAGTCAGGAGAAGCATACAGCCAAGCTTTGCAAAACGTCCACTGCTGGTTTCCGACTATTGGAAGCCAATTAATCGTCCCCTTTTGTTCATTGGACGAGCAGGCAACCCTTCAGCCTATCATAGACATAGCCCCTCCTTTGTCAGTGCTGCTAGAGGCTAGAAGAGGATGACTGACTGTCGGTTCGTCCAATACGCGGATTCAGCACTGGAGTGAGGATTTCCTTTCACTCAGTGGGAGGAGTCGTGTAATATCAGGCTGTTTGTTGCCGGAAGTATTCCCGGGAAATAGCGGGGTTGTATAGCACACGCTTGATCAGACAATAAAGGGGTTGGAGTCCTTACTGCAGTGGTGGTTATGGGACGATCTGCAGTCTCCGGCAGCTGGATAGAGGGGACTGAGTGGACAAGCCTCATCCACAGTCTTTGCATCCTGGTTTTGCCGTTCCTGGTGTAGGGGGAGTGCATGTGCCGCTTCTGCTGTAGTCACAGCAGAAGTAGATCAATGGTTGCTGGCCAATGGATGAGAGCTAACACCCATTGTTCAGCAAGGAGAGTGACAGAACACAGCTCTGCTTATGTAAACAAGGCAGAGCTGGTGTCCTATCAGTGGTCATCTGCTGGATGTTCATTCCCTGCTAAGCAGAGAAAGAAAATCCAGCGGATTGCCTAGTAAAATCACCACACTGTGCACAAAAGCACTGATGAGGAACACAGTTAACCCTTTGATCACCTTAGACGTTTAACCCCTTCTCAGCCAGTGTCATTATTACAGTGACAGTGTTTATTTTTAACATTGATCACTGTATTAGTGTCACTAGTTCCCACAAAGTGTCAGTGTCAGATTGTCAATATCACAGTTCCTCTATAAATTGCTGATTGCCACCATTACTAGTATAGTAAAAAAAAATTCCAGTATATACCATAGTTTGTAGACTCTATAACGTTTGCACAAACCAATCAATATACGCTTATTGGGATTTTTGTTATACATTTTGGTCTAAATGTATTTATTGGATATGTTTTATAGCAAAAAGTAAAAAATATTGGGATTTTGTTTCAAAATTGACAGACTTTTTTTGTTTATAGCACAAAAAATCAAAATCAAATACCACCAAAAGAAAGCTCTATTTGTGTGAAAAAAAATTGCATGAATTTCATTTATGTACAGCGTTGCATGACCGCGCAATTGTCAGTTAACCTCCCTGGCAATAATCCGAGTGTGGCTTGGGGTTAATTTTCAGTACCAAAAGCAGTATTTATTATT